TAATATAATTTTTTATCTCTACATTGAATGTAAACTCAACATTTTGGTGTATGTTATATTCGAGTTAGGCTGTTTTGAAACATTTATTAAAAACGCCTCATAATTTCCTTTGGGCACTTAAGGGATAATAATCAATAGATTGTGTAATGTTAGTGATAGACTTGCATTTGGTATAAGGACTATCCCTATACCAACTGTGCAAAACTTGATCATTAAACCCAATTGGTTTATACACAGAGCACGACTTATCAAATATCTGATCCATTGTATACATTGCGGCGATTTGTTCGCTAATCGTATGATTGTTGAGATAATCAATGATTTTAACTTCATTTGTATCATTAATATCCACCGATTTATTGCCAAATAATATCATCAAATGTTTGTCACTCAACAGAAAGCTCTTACGAATACATACAGAGACCGCCGGCAGTGATATGATTGACTCGTTTTCATAACTCGTTGAAATCACTGTTTTATACTCAAAATATTGATTACATATTTTCAATGTTTGATACAAACATAACCCCAAACTAATTGTAAAAACTGTTGCATTAATTACTTTCTTTAATTTAAGTAAATTTTTGATTTTCTTTCTTAAATTATTACAGTTATATATTTCAAACATTTTTATTTCTTATAAATAAATGAACAAATGATTGTCTTGTTATAAGATCTTGTTATAATGTCTTTTTATGTTGATTTTATTGATTTAAATATTTAATCACTTGTAATGTCAATTCTATATTAAACCTCATTTATTTATACAAAAACTTTTCCATTTAATTAAGTTTTATTTATATTTACACTAGTACTTTAATTCAAATATTTCATCAATAATTGAATTTATAATGCAATATTCAAATCCATACATACAGTGGTCTAAAACAAATCAAGAATATCTGAAAACATTATAATATAAATAAAATAATAATTTTGAAAATTAATTGATTATAAAAATGATTGAACTGAAGGGCATTAACTAAAGTTTCCGCCGTCTGTTGACTTCAATACAGCCGATAATTTTTGACGAATACTATTAAACAAATAATAAAACACACATTAATATCACAACTAACTAAACAAATTTATCATAATATGAATTATATGAATCAAAACACAAACCTCTCATCATTATTGCTCATATAATTGAAGTCAATTTCATTGACTTTGCAATTAATATTGTTTTGTCCGTCGAGTTTGACACTAAAACTGGCCGACAGTATCTTCGGGTTGGCGAAGAGGGCGGTGTAACCGGTCTTACCGGTGATCGGGGTCTTAATCTCATTAGCGCTGCTCAAAGTCATTGCAATATTATAACCTTCGGATAACTCGAGTTGCATCTGACCGGAACAGGTCGGGTCATCCGTCACCACCTAATATATTACACGCACAAAATGATTAATAAGCATTATATTATTAAACATGATGGTAGGAATATGTGTGCGAACAGGTATTTACCACAACTTGATAGGTATTTAGGCAGTAGCCGTCGGTGATAGCGCTGCCGGTATTGATGTAGAAGTGGTTTATACCCTGATTAGTAATCCAATTAGATTTGTCGTCCCAGTAATCGAGGCTTAGCTCCATTGGGACGCAATGTTTTTCGGTGGCAGTGCCGCAGTCGGCGCACAGACCCCGGTTGTAGTTGTCATAGGAGTCACACTTGTAGGCTATGGGTTGACAGCCCTGACTGTTCGCATAGGACTGGTCGTTGAGGGCGTAGAAATTGGAATGCTGGTGGTTACAAAAGCCCTTGTTGTTTAAATCTACGAATGGTGTGTAATTGCTCGCAT